GAACTTTTAGAGTTGGGGGAGTACCTCCTCTCTCAACAAAACTTAGACTTCCTAAACATGGACTTTGGGCCTCTGCTGGCTCTTGAAGGAGGCTCAGCATCACTCAGCATCTAAGGCCACATCCTCAGATGTAGGGAGAGACACGTCCTGCCCAGAGTCCTTGAGCAATATCTCCACCTCAGCTTTCTAAAATTCTGGAAAGTCCTGATTCCCACAATAAGAGCATTCACATAGGTGGTACCAAACACTAGCATCCAAGCAGAAGGAGATGTTTGGTCTTTCGCTTACAGGAGAAATAACTAATGACGAAAGTACAAGTCCCCAGTTATGACTGAATTACAAAATAGCTACTCTTTCTTCTGCCTAGAATAATGCCGCCACCACTGGGTATGCTTGATTTCTAAGTTTCCCCAGGAAGCTTTCCCTTCTGCCTCCCAAATGGATTAGCACCACTCCTGGTCCATTCTGAAATTCATTCCTCTCAAGGTTAGTTATCCATTTACATCTTTCTTCTCAGTAAGACTGCAGCCTCCTTGAGGAAGTCTGTTGAATTCCCACCACAGTCCTTGGAACACAGTTGCATTTTAGCAAATCGTTGAAGGAGTGAATGAGTCAGTGAAGTACCTTTTGGTTGCTGTGAACAGTGCAGCAATGAATGTGCATATCCAAGTCTTTGTGTGGACGTATTTCATTTCTTTTGGAGAGCAAACAGGATCAGGACTGCTGGCATGGCTTTCTAAGGAATTTCATTTTCATTTTGTATGTTCAGGGATCCATGGGTGTATATAAAGAGTGGGAGACATGGACAGGAGGATCCTCAGGACAATGTAGACCATGGGGACAGACTGGAAGCAGGGAGACTGGTTAGGAAATTGTTGCTTTCTATCTAACATATGGCAGACATTTCCATTTTCATCACTCTCTTTAATGCGGTGGGTTTAGAACACAGAGTAATGCAGAGATCCTGTGTCTGTTTTTCTTGGTGGTCAAATTCTATCCATGTACCATAATATAAAAACATCTTCATTTATGGACCAAGTGGAAATGAAAGGGAACCAGTATTCATTTTTATGATCTAGGTATATATTGCTAGAGCTTTTCTCATACTGTTAATTATTCTTTTATTGTCTTTCTTTTTTCTTCTTATTTCCTCTTAATGTTTCAACCATGGTATGGCAAGGGAATGGAGAATTTGAAATGCTACTGAAATGCACTTTCATGATTTTGGAAAAAATTAAAATACTTGCAATGACAGTGATTATTTTTATACAAAGTTTAATATAGCATGCATAGCTTCCTTCTAAACCATTGTTTTTAAAACCATGTTCAACAAAATAACAGTTCATTCCAGTGCCTTCTGGGTCTACTTTGAAAGATTATTAACATGATTTCCATCAACTGAAAATTAAAAGCATGGGATTTCCAAGCTCAAAGAGGTCTTAACACAGCCAGCCCATGCCACTCATTTGTAGATGAGAAAACTGAGGCCCAGACCAGACCACCTGGAAGCCTGGTCCCATCACTAACCATGAGAACTCATTGTCTCTGTGGCTTGGCCATGTGCCTCTCCATAATAAGAAGGAAGAGCTCCGTGTTTTTTAGAATTGGGAAAATTGCATTAGGCTTTTTATACATTTAAAAATAAAAATAGTCATGATAGGGACCAAACTTGAATTTCAAAGAGAAGAGATGTGGGAACGACTAAACTTGAAGATATGTGAAAAGAGATACAGAAGATTTTTAATATTTTGTCTTTTTGTGACACTATTGAAATATTTTGACATTAAGATACTTAAAATGTATAACTGTTTAACAAGCCTATTATTTTACTGCTGACTATGTTGAACTGCCAATAATTTATTTTTCTTCTTATAGATAAATCTCATGTTAACTTTATAAAATGGGTGACAGATTTGGGAAAACCAGTATCGTCCTGTAGTCAGGTGCACGCCAGGCTTTCTTGGTCCTGCTGGTGTTCTGCTGACAGAGACTTCTGCAAAACTGAAATGAGCAATTGAGAGGCATAAGTCAGTGCTGAGATGACAAGACACTAACTTACCACCATGCGGTCACATCTCAGTCAAACATCAATTTGTTTTCCATATCCTCAGCATATATGCTAACGTATAATGACATGCAGCTGAAAACACCCATTATTCACTGTTTTGTCAGTCTCTGCTTTAGCCATTTATACTTTTTTAACAATAGGGGTCCTGAGAGCTCAGAGAGGGGGGAAGAAAAAGGTAGAATAAACAAATAAAAGAGCATGACCATTTTTAAAAATGCACAAGGAGTGAAATAAAGGAAAGGTGATCAGAGTGTCAGCTTTCTTGCTGATGACAGTGGAATTGAAGAATGGGGCATAGATGAGCAGGAATAATGGGTTGATTAATAATGAACCCCAGAATTAGACATAATTGCCCACTCTAGGCAGCATGGAACAGCCCTAGTTCCCCAATGTGGGGGCCTCCCTGTAAGACTGCCATCAGCTCAACATACTACATGTGCTGTTGGGAGGAAGAGAAAGGGTGGGACAGAACCAAACAAGCTTGTCATCTCCCCCAACCCAGTGAGCAGATAAGTCACACCACCACCCCTAAGGGGAGAGGCAAGAGGCCAAGAGTTTTGGGGGAATGTCCCTCCCTTTGGAAACCATTTGAGTGGGAACTAAGTGTGTCTCTTCCTGTGTGGATGGGAGAGGGGAGGTATTAAGGGACTGACCCTTTTGGTACCCCAGTGGCATACCTATGAAGTTAAATTCACTATGTCTGGGAGGTTGAGACAATAAAAGGAGGTATAGGTAAAGCACCCGGCATGGGGGCACACTGAAAAGAAATTTAAAAAATAAAAATTTTTTTAAAAAAAGCACCCGGCGTGTGGACTGGCACAGAGCAAATGCTAAAAAAAAAAAAAAAAAAAAGTCGTGATTCTATTCAGTCCATTTGGACAAATCCACATGCTCCTTCTTTGCCCTGTTCTGTTTGCCATCTCTAACCAGTTTTGTGATTTGGACAACCAGATGGCTCTGATGTCATCCTCTGGAAGAGGACAAATATGAGAATGATTAGAATGGTGAGCAGTAGTGCATTCGATTTCCTATCTACTGAGTGTGAGGCATCTGTGTCATAAATCATAGGCCCACGGATTTACAATTTTTGTAATGCAAAAGAACATTAACCTGTTAATTTATAGCCCCATTTGGAAATTAAACTGTTAAAGCCCTGTACAGGGCTGAAGACTGACCCCAGGGAGCCACAGAGGGCAGGAGCCACAGAGGACCCAGGGAGGAAATGAAGAGGCTACAGAATAAGGAGGAAAACTAGGAAAGTGGGCAACACAGAAGTCAAGGAGAGCATTCAGTTCGGGAAGAAGGGAGGAGTCAGCTGTGCCAGGTACTGCAGAGGAGTCAGGTAGGATAGGAAGGAAAAGGAATAAATGGGCCTGCAGAGATGGCAGGAGGCATCATTCGTTGTTAGGGAGCACTGTGCTCTCCTCTCGTGTGCAATATTGACTTAACTCTCAATTTTTACAGTTGAGGGAAGTAGGAGTCAGAAAAGTTTAGTAGCACCTGGCTGAGGTCACAAAGCTTAGAAGTCACAGAGCTGGGACTCAGACCTGTCATCTGACTCTTAACCACTCAGCACCCCTCTCTTCCAGAAGACTTGCTTCTGCCCTGTATTGGGTGAGGAAGCCAGAGCACTGTGAGTTGAGAGGGAGCCAGGAATGAGAGGAAGGTAAGAGAGAATGGCAGGTAGAGGAGGGTAGGCTGAGGTTTGTCTTACTTTAGGACAGCAAAGACCTCAGCATTATTAAATGAAAATAGATGCCCAGAATAGAGCCAGGGAGTGAGGAGACATTCAGGAGGTACAGAAGGCAGAGGACAGGTGTATGTGTGTGTGTGTGTGTGTGTGTGTGTGTAGGGGTGGGACCTTAGGAAGGAGAGCCCCTCCTCCTGTGTGACAGGAGAGAGCAGAATCAATGGATGGATGGGTTCAGTGTCAGAACATTGATGAAGAACATCTCTTCTCATTGTTCTCATTCTCTATCTCCTCCACTCCATCCCCTGTCCCACCACCAGTCCCCTCCTCTATCTAGAACATCCCACTTACCCTTCCATGCCCTGCTCTTGTCATTCTCCTGAGCCCTCAAGCAGGATGGTTTGCTCTAGGCTTCCAGGGAGCCCATGGCATCCATCCACCCCACGGGCACTGCCAGGTGGGCCCCAGCAGGACCCCCCACCACCACTGGAGTGACTTCATGCTCAGTGAGCATGAATCAATTCAGCTTGCGCCTACAACATGGCGCCCCTCTGTAGGAGCTTAGGTTTTTGGAAAAGGACTAAGTTGCACAAATGATTATAATACATGTCCCATGAGAGAAGGCCCGTGAAAGAAATATGCAGAGTAATGCAGACTTCAGTCCAGAGGGGGAATGCAGTGAGGAAGGCAGAAGGGTTTTGAGTTAGTTGTTGAAGGGTGAACATATTTACAATCAACAAAGGAATAGGCCATTTTACTTAGAGAAAGTAGGATCAGAAACGGCACAGAGCTTATTTGAGAAACACGGGATGGTCATGTTTGGCTGAAGGATGGAATATAGCTGGAGTGGTAAGCCCATGATGCAACAGGAGGACCGTCAGTGCTAGACTGTGAAATTCTGTTCTCTGCAGTCTTGCGGACTTAGCCAAGAAATCGATCCTAAGAGTTTATAAATCACACCTACCATTTTCCTCCCAGAAACTAGGCCAGTATCCCTCTGAGTTTCAGGATACCAGAACCCACCCAGGCTCCTCGGAACACCCCAAGCATATAAGTAAGGGCTGTGTTATCTCGCTTGGCAGCTTGCTGCCTGTGTCCTCCCGGGGATGGGGGGTGGAAAGAGGTGAGCCGGGAGTGTGTTTGCTCCTGCACGGAGAGTTTTCTCGTTACTTGTACATCACTATTCTTAAGAGCTATTTCTAGACAAAGAAATACAAAATAAAAACCTCTTTTTTCTTTCAGTTAAGAAAAAGAAGCCTAAACTATTAAATAAATTTGATAAGACTATTAAAGCTGAACTTGATGCTGCAGAAAAACTTCGTAAAAGGGTATGTTGATGTTTTCGTTTGGCACAGAAATGTGCAATGGGTCAGTTGTTCAATAAATTCAGGCGTCACTGTTGAATTGTTACAAAATAATAAGAGAAGCAGCCCTTGACTGGAGTGGATTTCTTTTTTTTTTCCCCAAGCACATCAGCATTCCAGTGAAATGAATCAAGTGAAAGGGAAAATTTGCCCCTGTGTGGCCAAACAGAAGTAGAACTAAGGGTTAGGCTGGTGGACGTGGGGTCAGCCTACCACCTCCCCTCCGCCAGGTGTGTGGCTTTGGACAAAATACTTGGCCATTCTGAGCCTCAGTTTTCTCATTTAAAAAATTAGAATAGAAAGTGATCTTCCTGCTTGGTTTTTGTGAAAATCAGATGAGATTTTTTTTTCTTAAAGCATCGACTGTGTCAAATGCCACACAGGTGAACATTTTTAATTGTCTAGCACCTCAATGCAAAAAGAAAAAAATTAGTCCAGGACGCTTAGGGTAGTTACTGATAGGTGAAATGACATTGGGTTTAGCATTCTTCTCACTAGGTATTAACCTCATGCACCTGCAGTTTTCAGGCTGACTATTATATGGTTTGTGTTGTTCTCAGTTAATTTGAAATATGACCTGCGTGTGTTTCTAGATATTGCAGCTAAAAAAAATAACTTGACACTAGATTGAAGTTCTTGTTCTCTGACTCAGTCATATTCATCGTCTAATTATCAGGTCCAACATTTATAATAATACATTTAATAACACCTTCCCTGAATCATCTGCTCGTTTGTCATGGAAATTTCTCTTTCTCTACTCTGTATTAGAAATTAGACTTGGCGTCATGATCATTAGTTTTCCTGTGATATGCTTTTTCATCCAGTAGACCTTGGCTGCAAAGAAGGGACAGGGTATTGTAAGTAAATAAGCAACAACAAAAGGACAAAAGTCAGGAACTGAGGTGGGACAAGAATATGCTTCCCAAGTATTTATTGGAAACATACTAGGAAGCATGGAGACCTCTGTAACTAGTGTTAGACAAGGTTCCCAGGCCAAGACTAGCTTACCCTCTTCAGCAGCCAATAAAAATGGGGTAACTCCAAAGACTTTTGTAGCAAAGTTGTTCACTGTCCCTAAATTTAATCATGGGAAGGATTTCTGAATCTGTCTTGTTTAACTTTACAAAATGAAGCCACCTACTATTTGTGGGAAATTTGCATTTCTTAATGGAAGTGAAGTAGGAGTCTTCTTTTTCTATCCCCTCGTTTGGCATCCTCCACTTCCTCTTTACTAAATGCCGTATATGAGAGTGTGGGATGCCTATTTCACAGGTGACTTTAGGGATAAAGGACAAGTGAACAGCTTTGGAGAAGGGCTGTTATGTAATTTTAATGAATGGTAAAGAAGGGCTCAGTTGCCAAGGGAAGGATGAGTCAATGGGATATAAAAGTGCTGGAACAGTCTATGGGGTGTTCTCTGGTTCTTGCTTATCTGGAGAAATGATGAGGCATTCCTCCAGCAGCACCCGAATCTCTAACAGAGTCAATAAGAGGAGGAAGTAGCTACAATTCTTGCTTCTGAAATAGCAAGGAGCCATATTTATTATTGACTGGATTTCATCAGCATTAAGGAAGCTTTTGTAAGGTTATTTTTATGGCTGATATTTTCAAATAATGCAGCCAGTCACCTTGGAAGAGCTGAGGACAATGCTGAGGTATGCCCCAGACAGAGGGGGTCCAGTTTTAGTTCATGCCTAGCTTTAAGGACTATGCTGCATGAAAGTATGGGGTCACTTTATTTTTCCATCAAAAATGTACAGATCAGAACCTAATTCAATCATGTGTTTTTCAAAAGTCATATGTATTGCTTAACACTCTTCCTTACTCATAGAAAAAAGGATCTACTGAAATATTCACTTATTATTTCATTTTAAAGATTATTTGTTTATTTATTTGACAGACAGAGATCACAAGTAGGCAGAGAGGCAGGCAGAGAGAGAGAGGAGGAAGCAGGCTCCCTGCGGAGCAGAGAACCTGATGCGGGGCTCGATCCCAGGACCCTGGGATCATGACCTGAGCCGAAGGCAGAGGCTTTAACCACTGAGCCACCCAGGTGTCCCACTTATTATTATTTCATTTTAAATGAGAAAAAGAGAGGGAGAAAGGAACATGTAATAAAGCCAGAGTGAGGCTTTCAAACACATGAAAGTTTGCATCACAGGATCTGAAAGGAGCTTGGGATGAATGGATACGCTGTAGGCAGGACGCAAAGGGAGTAGCATCACACTCTAAGATGAATGGCATTCATCAGAGGAGCTGCCCTCCACCAAGTCTAGAGAGAAATGTTCTGCTGTGGATCTTCATGAAGGGTATGCTGACGGATGGCCAGCTCCCACCCTCACATCACACCAGTGGATTCTGCAATACAGCTGTGGGGGTGTGTTTTAATGTCCTTGGGCACAGCTCATTGGCCTCACGCCAGAACAATGGGGCCCAAGTACCTGTCTCTCCAATGAACTGTCTTGGTTTTTGGATAAAATGTAAGCTCTGTCGAAAGATGATTTTTAGGCAATTCTTCATAAGCATTGTATCTTGTCTTTAAGTTTTTCAATAAGAACTGCATCATAGCCCTAGGATCTATATTCTCTAGTAAGATTCTAGGGAGCGGAAGTTCCTCCACACCAGAAACACACACATTTACTTTGCTAGCCTGCTGGGGTAAGAGCAGGGCTGACAGTCCCTTAGCAAGGCAACACGGCTTCTGTCTGAAGGGGATCGGAGGGATGCCATAGTCAAGTCAAAATATTCCATTATTTTTATATTTTTGATGACCAGCTAAGGGAGTATCCAGAAGGAACAAAATGCTTTAACAGATTTGTTACAAATGTTGTTATTCCTGTGTTTTAGATCGTAATGGTGCATTTAGCATGATTTTCACAAAAATAGCCTCAACATTTGGAATTTAAATTACAGAAGGCATGTGGTAAGCTAAAAATGGTCCCCCCCGCAAAAATATCCCAAGTCCTAATCCCTGGAACCTGTAAGCCTTACTGTATTTAGAGAAAGGGTCTTTGCAGATAGGATAACTTACAGATCTTGAAATGGGGAGATTATTCTAGTTTATCCACTTGGGCCCTAAATGCAATCACATGTTTCTTTATAAGAGAGAGTCAGAGGGAAATAGGAGACAAAATAGGAGAAGGCATCACAGAGGGGAGAAGGCAATGTGAAGACCAAAGTAGAGATTGGAGTAATGCATGCACCATCAAGTAATGCTGTCAGGAGGCAAGGAACAGACTCCCCCTAGAGCCTCTGGAGGAAGCGTGGCTCTGCCAACATCACAGTTTCAGCCCAGTGAAACCGATTTTGGACTAATGTTCTCCGGAATAAATTTCTGTTGTTTGAGCCATCAAATTTCTGGTAATTTGCAACAGCAGCCAGAAAAAACTAATCCAGATTTTGGTGCTGTAGCAGATTTTGGGCTGCTACTATAGCCAGTACTTAAAAATATGGACATGGCTTTGGAATCGGGTAAGGTGGAGAGGCCGGAAGAATTTCGAGACGCATGAGAGCAAAAGCCCGCATTGTCTTAAGCAGACTGTTGGTAGAAATATGGATGTGAAAGCTGCTTCTGGAGAGGGCTCAGAGGAAGTGAGGAGCACCATAGAGAAAGCTTTATCGATAATCTTCGAGAATATACATATCCTTACCAGCAGAATGTTGATAGGCATTTTTGGCGAGAGCTCGGGAGGAAATGAGGAATAGGTCAATGTAACTGGGGAAAAGGCAGTCCTTTTTACAGAGTGGCAGGAAACTTAAATGAATTATATCTTAAGGGCCTGAGCAAAGCAAAACTTAGAAGCAATGAACTTGGATGCTTAACTGAGGAGATTTCCAAGCCATGTGTCCAGGATGCAGCCTGGTTTCTTTTTTGCTGCTTCTAGTAAAATAGGAGAGGAAAGTGATCATTAAGGAAGGAACTCTTAAAGGAAAAAAGAACCAGAACATGATAATTTGGGGAGATTTCTTGGTCTATCCAGATTGCAGAAGAATTAGGAAGTTCATTGTTAGGAAAGTGTACTCCGGAGAGAAGGCCAAGGGCGTGCTGGACATCCTTTTCCTGAAGAGAGTAGGTGTGTGACTCTTGGATCTGCTCAGCTGTCCAGCAGAAGCCAGGAACAGAGCTGGGATTATCCTGGGAGGGTTTTTGCAGGTCCCTCTTGTCAAATGGTGTGAATCCCCACAACAGACGAAAGAGACCCACAAGGCTTTTGAGAATATTATACCAGGAGAAGCATTGCCACCTGAGAGACACAGGACAAACAGCAAGAAATGCTGGGTTCCCAAAATTCTACAGGCAGGAAACAGATAAAATGAATCACGCTTTCAATAAAAAGAAAAGATAATTCCAAGGGCAGAGTCTTGGACCCAGAGGTGAGAGACAAGGACTTCGTGGCCAGAGACAAGAACTCGGTAGCCAGATCCAAGGACCCAGAGGGCAGAGCCTCAAGCCACAGACTTTGAAACCCAAGAATTCACCTGCCTTCATTTTGAAACTGCTTGGAATCAGTGACTCCCTTTTTTTCTTCTAGGAAGAAGAAAAAAGGCAGTTAGAAGAAAGTCACACAGAAAAAGATATTTCCCATTGAGGTCTTCATCCCTTAAAAGTGGGTGGGCAAGGGATGAAGAGGTAAAAACATGGGATTTTTAGGGCAGCGAAACCAGTCTGCATGACGCTATAATGGTAGATACTGTCAGTATGCAGTTGTCTGAACCCACAGAATATCCCACAGCAAGAGTGAACGGACCCTAAGGTGAACTGTGGACATGGGGTAATTTTGTCGTGTCAGTGTACCTTTGTCATTTGTAACAAATGCGCCACTGTTGTGCAGGATGGTAATCATGGGGGAGGCTGTGTGTGTTGGGGACATACTGAGTAGATGAAAAATCTATGCTTTGTCTCAGTTTTGCCACGGACCTGTAACTGCTTGCTCTTACAAAATAAAATCTTTAAAGAAATTAATATCATGAGAGGACAGTTTATTTTAAAGAGTAATACAATCATTTCTGACAGTACATGTCCTGTAGGGCATGTGTTCCTGGCTTGATTTATTTGTTAACCTGCCTGTCGATCAGGTAAAAGGCTCCCATGAGAGGGGCCCCATTATCTTGTGCTGTACACACATTCCCCACGCAACATATGCTCCTTGCAGTGTCTACCAGTTGTAAGCGTAACAGCAGCCCCTCAAGGTAGTTAAGTACCCTCGTCCCCATTTTACGATGAGACACCCAAGGCAGAGGCATCAGTAACTCTCCATAAGTCATACACCTCTCAAGCAGCAGAGACCAGCCTCCAACCCGTTGGTCTGGCTCTGGAGCCCGCGCTCATAGCTGCGACGCTATACATATGTTTTCTACCAGCCCTTCAGCACCACTTATGGGCAAGTGAGAGGAAAAGAAAACCTCCTTCTTTGATGCTATCTACCTAAAGAAATGATTTTAAGTAACTTTAATAGGGATGTTGCCTGACCTTTCACTATTGAGTCAAGCTTCCAGAAGTGGGTGTCAGGGACAGCCGAGCAGTCCTGCTTTCCTGAGCCACCCTGGTGAGGTGAACTTTTGTCGTGTGGAAGCTCAGCTCGGTGAACGTCAAAACATAGAAACCACGGCGAGCTTCCATTTGTATGAGGAATGAATGGATTTACCAGTTTAGAAGGAGCCGAAGTGTCTGTGAAAGTTCATCTCAGAAAATCTGGCTCTATCCCGTGGTTCCCAGTGTCCTTGACCTGCAGCCATCCATTGGAAACCAGGAAATATTTGTTTCACCTTGTGGAATGGCCACGGAGGGAGTGCCATGGGGAGAGGCTTCCTCACCCCCACCAAGACGCTCACCAAGTTGACCTGTTCCACATCCTCTGTTCATGTCATGGTGGTCAGGGACCTAGTGGGGGTGCTTGGACTATCTTCTTAAGGGTCCACATAAGCTTTGGGAGGGGTTACATAACACAGAGTCATGAGTTTCCCCAGTCAGCCAGGCAAGCCAAATCAATGTTAGTGTTTAGTGGCTGACAGGTACCACGAGCCAGTGGCCTTATGACTCCGGCGAGTTTATCCCCCCACCCCCAACAGGTGCTGTAGACTTCTCATGGCAGACCCCAAGACATTCCAGCCGCCAGCAGTATATTTTCCCCAACTTAAAATACTATTTTCTTCAAGAAGATAATAATACTGTAATAGCATTGTATGGTGACCCATGGTAGCTACACTTATGATGAGGATAGTATAAGGTATAAGTTGTCTAATTGCTGTGTTGTACATCTGAAACTAATGTAACATTGTGTGTCAACTGTGCTTCAATGAAAAAGAAAGTTAAAATATAATGCATGTAGGAACTGTGCATATAGAGGGAAAATGCAGTTTCTTTAACAGAGACTTAGAGCACATCCTTGGTCAGGTTTCTGTTATTTAAAAATAATTTTTTTTTTCATTTTTACTTCTCTGTTTTCCAAACTTAATTTTTTAAAAATCTTAGATAAAACTGTCTTTAGAATCAGAGTGAAGTCTAGGATGTTTTGACAACATTATTTAGTGAATATTAAAAAACCATATTGAATAACATTATGCATCTGAACTTACTGCATTTACGTAACTGCTTCTTCCTAACAGGGAAAAATTGAAGAAGCATTGAGTGCATTCCAAGAACTAGTGCGCAAATACCCTCAGAGTCCACGGGCAAGATACGGAAAGGCACAGGTATCTGAAGTCATTCCTACGTAGAAGATGTTTTTGATGTTCTTGTGTTCTGTGTAATTGGATTTTTTCACTGCCCACCATTTGTATTTCTCTTTGTCCTTCTAACTTATAAACAGAGCCAATTTCTCACGCATATGTGTACACTCAAGAAAGAAATACCGTTTTAAGTATGACAGTTAGCTATTGTCGTTGTGTCCCGGTGAATCCAGTAGCGTTTTCCTGCTCTCCCTCCATCTGGCTTCTCCCTGGATTTGAAAAGAAAAAAAGAAGAACACTTTGGTCCTTGATCTCCCATCACCGTCATGCCCCATTCTGCCAAGTTTTCACCGTAGGCTCCTCTGAGCTATAAGAGCCGCAGTTTTGCAACTAGAGGCTGCAAGTATGCTTAGGAAAGTCTTGAAAATATAAAACGGAGTTATATTACCAGCTCCCCTATCCCTGTCTCCACTCCCTCATCTCCTTTCTTCCCTGACTTTCCCATCGTCCAGCTCCTCATTCTGTGAAGCTTTTCCTCGCCCACCTGTGGTTGCTGTGGTTGGCTGTAAAGCCACCATGTACCACGTGCTCTTTTAGACCCTGGGATTAATCATAATGAGCCCTCTAGAGGTCTCTGCCCTTGTGGATCTTATCAGCCAGTGGGAGGTATTTTAAACGTTACTTTATAAAAACTGAGAGGGAGACAAACCAGAAGAGACTCTTAATCTCGGGGAACAAACTGAGGGTTGATGGGGGATGGGGGGAGGGATGCGGTGGCTGGGTGATGGACACTGGGGAGAGTATGTGCTATGGTGAGTGCTATGAATTGTGTAAGACTGATGATTCACAGACCTGCACTCCTGAAACAAATAATATATTATATGTTAATAAAAAACAAAGTCACTTCGTCAAAAATTACTTAGAGGAAGCCCCCTATATGCAGTTCTAGGTGCTGCAGATGCAGCCACCAGCAGAATGTATGGTATTGTCATTGTGGTGACAAAGGCAGCCCAGGAGACAGAACAAGTAAAATATATATGCTTGTCGGTGAGAAGTGCTGAGAACCTGTAAAAAGCAGAGTACCGCCACAGGATGTGTGAGGGAGTTGATATGTGGGCTAGGGTGTTTGGGAGAAGTCTACCGACGAGGTGACATTTGAGCCAGGGCCTGAATAAATAGATATAGAAATATATAGTTAAGGATATTATAACGTATTAAACATAAATATATTAGATCATCTTATGTAAAATACGCCATAAAGAAAAGGAGAGCATACCTATTAAGATTTTTCTGGCTGTGAACTATGAGGCTTGAGGGTGACGGGGCAGACAATGCTTTAGATACACTGATCAGAAAAGGCCTTTCTACTGAGGTGACGAATGGCTGAAGTGTGACAAGACAGCTGAAGGAGCTGTGCAGGCAGAGGGAACAGTGAGGGCAAAGACCTGATATAGGGAAGTCATGTTGGCGTAAGAAACTCAAGAACAGGAAGAAGGGCGTGCTGAGGGAGGGCAAAGTAGGACAAGTGGGGTCAGGGCCTCACAGATGATATTCTCTGTGCCCTGAGAAGCATTGCAGGGTTTCTGCATGGACTTGGCAATCTTGTTTTTTCATGAAGATTGTTTTGGTTCCTCGGTGCGGGATAGATTAAAGGGGCAGCAGTAGAAGCAAGAAGCATAGGGGACGACTATAGGTGTACTCAGGGAGCACTGGCCTGGACTGTGGCCATGGTTGTGGCGATGGGGAGATGGTGGGGAGGGCTTCCTGTTGGCTTGGGTGTAAGGATCAGAGAAGACAGGACTGGAGTCCTGGGTTTGGGGTTTGGCCAGAGGAGGAGAGAGAGAGCTGGTTGCTCACAGGGAAAACTGGTAGAGGAACAGGTCTAGGGAGGTGAGAAGTCAAGAATTCGCTTTTCGTCCTGTAAAGTTTGTGATGCCTATTGGACAGTCAAGTGGACATGTCAAGGAGACATTGAATTTTATGAAGTCTGGAATTCAGGACAGAAGCCAGGCCTGATACACAATGTGTCTGACAGTGAAGCTCCCACAGCCCAGCCTGGAGGGGATGAGATTCTCAACCCTACTGGGAAACAAAAGGCGCAAAGCTACAGAAATTTTCCAGACGCAGAACCTGACAACACCCTTTGGGGAGGGGTCAGTGCAGTGACTCGTATACGGCACTCACCTAGGACCTAACGCATCTATGGATAAAACAAACATGTTTTGCTCAGAACTAAAGGTGGCGACCACTTGTTCCAGATCCTCAAATTCTTCTTATCTCCCTATTAAAAACTTATTAGTTAAATTTTATTAATTAAATTTTAATAAATTTAAAAATCATTTTTATTTTTTATTATTATTTTTTTAAAGATCTTATTTATTTATTTGACAGACAGAGATCACAAGTAGGCAGAGAGACAGACAGAGAGAGAGGGGAAAGCAGGCTCCCTGCGGAGCAGAGAGCCCAATGCAGGGCTCGATCCCAGGACCTTGGGATCATGACCTGAGCCGAAGGCAGAGGCTTTAACCCACTGAGCCACCCAGGTGCCCCGAAATTTTAATAAATTTAGGTTGTGAAAAAGTAACACAAATACGTTTCTCCTATCCATGGTACAGGCCAGGGGTAGCAGACAGCAATTATATAATTTTTGTAAGTGAATTTGGTCAATAATCCTCCAAAATTGCTAAGCTGCGTTGGTCTTAGGCAAGAGTGAATGTATTACCAAAAGATCATGCCTGTTCATTTAAGTGATGAGCTTCATTATTAGTATTGGTGGTCATTTGATTAAGAGAACATATTAACTAGAAAGAAAAAAGATTGATGCAAATGTTAACTTAATTGTGACAAAAAGTACTTTGTGCTTTAGAATTTTTCTTTGTATGTGATAGTAATTATGGGGGTCAAAGTCCAGGTAAACGTGGTACTTTGACCCATGGTGATTGCTGGATTTATATCCTTATTTAACTGTAGGAATTTGAGAGCTAGCCCTAAGGCAAAAATTTTTATCTCTTAACTATTATGCTATAAGGTATTATTGATATTAATGTTAATGTGGCATAAAGCAAAATTTAGGCATGGTAAATTAAATTTTAAAAGAGTAATTTAAAAGAAAATTGTAAATGCTTAGAAGTTTTAGAAATCAGTTCAAAAGAAGCTGGATTTTATAGGGAGGAAGAAATGATGACTTTTTCATCCTTTGTTTGCACATCACACAATTACACTGGAATATCCCAACAAAATTTTTTTTAATACCCCAACAAACTTGTAAAATGTAGCAACATTAAGTTAAATATGATCTATAATTCTGAAGCATCACTGATGCTGTCTGATTCCTTGGATCACCGTGAAAATCAATTCTGACCAAATTCCCTGAACATCAGATACAACATCTTAAATCGTAAACTCAGTTCACTTTATTATCTTCACAAACCATTAATGCCTCTGAGGCAGAAAATGACACATCTCCTAGGAAGTTTGGATGGTTGAATTAGTTCAAGTCAACAGAAGGCTTTGTGGTGTTAACATCCTGGAACAAACGTTCAGTTTCTGCCCAAATCATTTTATGTACGGGTGCTAAACTGATAATGATCAATCTATATGATTTTGATTTTCAAAGCCAAGTCTATTATTTTCATTCAAAAGAATTTAAGATGGAGATGTCATTTTTCATACCAAGATTTTCCCAATTCTGGAAGTTGCAAAATGTTTTTACTTCGTTAAAATGAAGAAATTTGAGATGCGAGGAAGGGAGGAAACAAAGCATATAAATTGTATCATCTTCCTCTCTTTTTAGATTGGGTTTAGTTTGATATTTATTACAATTTCTGTAAGGAAGGATTACCTTGGTAGACATTTGTCTTTACAGTAACCTTGACCTGACCCTCCAGATCCAGGATCTATTTGGTAGATCCCCAAACCCAGGACTCCAGCTTGAAGAGAGTGAACTATGTGGTCTCAAAAGGGCTGTCTCAATTCCAAGACTCCATCACTCTCAGACGTCATCTATGAATAATAATGTTTTGGAGAGCTAACTCACCATAGCCAAACTCACAAGAAACTGATGCCTGAACAGAAAAGCCAGCATATGAATATACCGAAGGCCAGAGGGGCAGGATGGCCAGTGTGAGTCATTAACGGTGAACTCTCTCTCCTGGCAGATAAGTCTATAATGGAGACAGCCCATTTACAGATATGAAGAGATAGCAGTACACTCTGAAGCTTTTTTCTATCAAGCAAGGGTAAATTGCCCTTTTTCAATCCAGAGATTTTTGTCTTATCACTTTTCCTTTATTATAAGTCTGTCCACTTCTCTCTTTCACTCTGCTTCAGTCCTAGCCCTCATCATCTTGTGAAACTTACCTGATCAGTCCACATAACAAGTTATTTCTTTGAGGTGTTCTTTTCTTTTCTTTTCTTTTCTTTTCTTTTCTTTTTAAAGATTTTATTTATTTGACAGACAGATCACAAGTAGGCAGAGAGGCAGGCAGAGAGAGAGAGGAGGAAGCAGGCTTCCCGCTGAGCAGAGAGCCCGATGCGGGGCTCGATCCCAGGATCCTGGGATCATAACCTGAGCTGAAGGCAGGGGCTTTAACCCACTGAGCCACCCAGGTGCCCCTGAGGTGTTATTTTCTGACAGGCTCTCTGCAGATATTAACAATTTATGCTGAATCTTACTAGTTTTTGCTTTGGGATCAGGGAGGAATGGCTCATTTTCATACCATGCCCTCAAATTGTGGAGTTGTGCTTTACTTTGGTTCTTCAGGAAGCTATATATTGACTTCTGCACACCCTTTATTTTAAATAGCTGAACACGTTACATAGGATATTAGGAGAAAAACATTCTATATGCGACTTCTAGCCTCTAACTGGTACCATTTTTCCTCAAGTGGTAATCTTCAAATTATAGTTTACTAAATCAGGTGAGATTTTGACTACCATTTTACACATTCCCCTTTTTATCACTATAGCATTTCACTCCCCATTTTCAATCTCCTGCAAAGAATCTTGCTTATTTCACGGAGAAAATAAAAGTATCCAGAGAGAACTTCCATGTGATCCCGCTACAGCACTGAGAGCCCACCTCCACCTGTTCCCCTATGCTCTGCCTTCCCACCTATTAGCATGGATGAACAGTTTCGTTCCCCTTACCCATCCTCTCCCACCTGCTGAAGGAAAGCATGCTGATTTTTGTGACTTCTTCTGTATCATCACGTTTTCCCTCTCTACTGACTCTTTTGCATCAGCTCCGAAGCATGCTGTTATATTTCCCATTGGTAACGGAAACAAATTCCTCTCCCTGATCTCCACATTCCCCTCCATCTACTGGCCCATTTCTCTGCTTCCCTTTGTGGGTTGTCTGCACCTCCTTCCCTCCTGGTTTCCTCTGGTCCTGCTCCATCCTCTTACGGGTCCCCAGTTCTCCCATATTTCCCAGATGATCAGGGCCATCAGAGGTGCCACATTGCCCAATCCAGCCAAGATGTTCAACCTGGTGTCCCTTCTAACATGACTGATCACTCCCTCTTGAAACCTTTTGTCCCTTAACCTCCAGAACACTTTCTTGTGGTTATTTTCTTCTTACCTTACAGTAAGGTAAGGTTATTTTCTTCTTACCTTACCTTCTTATTTTCTTCTTACCTTTTTGCAGACCCTCTCCTGTCTTTCTGACTTCTTTCCTGAACCCCAAATGCATATATGTACCTTTCTATCCAGCATATCCACTTGGGTACCTAACGGGTGTTGGGTTTAATATGTCCAGAATGGAACTCCTGATTCTGAATGCCTACAAACCTGTTATTGCCCTGTCCTCCCATTCTCGGGGTGGCAGTTCCCCCTGGCTATCGCTCAAGCCAAAACCCTTGAATTTATCCTTGACCTCCCTCCCTCCCTTTCTGTTACATTTCTGCCCACCTGCAAACCTGTTGACTCTGACCTTCACAATGTATCTGTAATCCCCCTACCACCTCTTTCCTACCACCGTAGTCCGAACCATCCTCATCCCTGGGTCTGGGGTCCTGCTAGAGCACCATAGCTGGCCGCTGTGCTCGTCTACCGCCTTTTCGGTCTGTTCTCCCTCCCACTACCAGTGTGATCCTCTCCACGTACATCAGATCATGTCAAAAACCCCCGGTGTCGGGGCGCCTGGGTGGCTCAGTGGGTTAAGCCTCTGCCTTTAGCACAGGTCATGATCTCAGGGTTCTGGGATCAACCCCCACATCGGGCTCTCTGCTCAGCAGGGAGCCTGCTTCCCCCCACTCTCTCTGCCTGCCTCTCTGCCTACTTGTAACCTCTCTCTGTCAAATAAATAAAATCTTAAATTAAAAACAACAACAACAACCTGGTGTCTTTCCATCTCACATCGTGTAAGTCTAGTGGACTTGGCAATGGCTTACCACGTTTTTCATTACCCGACCACCGCTCCTTCGCCAGTCCCCTCCTTGCCCCCCATCCTGCACCAGCCTATCCTCTCCCCCTCACTTCCCTGCCCAGGGCCTCGCTCTTGCTATATTCTCTGCCTTGGAATGTTCTTCCCCCAGATAGCCTCATGCCTCACTCCCTCTCTTCTTTCAGTCCATTCCTGGTCATCCTGCCTGAACTAACTCTTCCTACCGCCCCACTGTCGGCGCTCCTAAGCCTGCTTTGTTTTTGGTCCCCAGCACTCATGGCCGCCAGACACACAGTACTTTGATTTGTATATCGTCTTTCTCTTCGTAATGAAGCAGAATTTAAAAAAGAGCTTTATCTGTTTTGTTTACCTTGCCTGCCATGTAGCTCCCGGATTATAGTTGTTGAGTGAATGCGTGAACATGCAGACAAACTGCTGAGAAACAGGAAGTCCGGACTGGAGCCCTGTCTTTGAAATATGAATGTGTAACATGATACATATCTCCGTGAACCCAGCATAGATTAATTATTCCTCCTTTTATATTTTTTTCTCATCTGTAGCTTGGTAGCTGACTGGTCTTCATGTTATTGAGATAGCACATGCGTCGCTTTTCTCTGCTTTTTAATCTCTTGATAAAGAGAAGATTTTAATCTGTCTCAAAATGCTTTTCCCGCATGTCCAGAAATTGACTTTACATGTATATTTGGGATGATTACAAATACAGCCTGTCATGGGACACTTACCCATTGTGGGGACTTCCTCTAGTGTGAAGACGATCTGGCTGAGAAAAGAAGGAGCAACGAGGTGCTGCGTGGGGCCATCGAAACCTACCAGGAGGTGGCCAGCCTGCCTGATGTCCCCACAGACTTGCTGAAGCTGACCTTGAAGCGGCGCTCAGACAGACAGCAGTTTTTGGGTAAGACAGAATAAGAGTTAGTTCAACCCCAAATGCCGTGCTCTGTGCTCTTAGAAGAGCTTAGTTACCTAGGAGGGAACCTGAGTTTCGCAACTACTTTCAGGTAATTTACGCGAATGGGTCCTAGACAGAAACAGTGGTCCTGATTTTAATACTTACAGAGATGCAGATGGTATTTCACCACCTTTCCCCACTACCCTCCTCCCCTCCAATTTTAAAGCTGACGTAGATGGGATGCTGGGAGGTTGGATAATTTGCCTAAGGAATCACAGCTAATAAATTAATGGGTCTGTAATCAAAACTCTTCCTGCTATGCCAAACTCTTTTCTCTCTTAACGATAACAAATCTATTCATGGGTGTTGAGATTATCAGTGGAACAATTTTTCTGTTTTCTTGGTTTTTAAAAAAGATTTCATTTATTTATTTGACAAGAGATTGAGAGAGAGCACAAGTAGGCAGAGGGGCAGGCAGAGGGAAAGAGAGAAGCAGGCTCCCCCTGAGCAGGGAGCCCGATGTCGGGCTCGATCCCAGGACGCTGGGATCATGACCTGAGCTGAAGGCAGCTGCTTAACTGACTAAGCCACCCAGATGCCCCTGTAGAACAGTTTTTATAAAAGATGGAATATTAGGAGTTCCAGACACTAAAAATTTTGCCTGTAAAGTTTGACTCTAGACCAAGGAAAATGATAGGGAAAAAACCTTTTTAAAAATCTTTAAGTAAATTTGCCACTGCTTTGCAAAGAGCAGCATAGAACATCCTCCTCTCTGACCCCAGTGCCGGGGCCAAAGGCAAGTAAGACTAGCTTGAACATAACTTCATTATGACCAGGCTTCTGATTCTCTTCCACCTAACTTGTCATCAGGAAACCAGATGGAAGCGTCTAGGCCAGGTGTAACCTCTCAGGCGGGTGCTAGTGGCCTGATACGTTACATGAACAGTCATTGATGCCACTAGGAGAGGCTCATCTAAGTGATACCGAAGGCCAACTGACCCTGTTACCAATTTCCTGAGGGATAGGATTAAGAGTACTTGTGTCACTTTGGTAAATGACCTAAGTCTGATAGGAGTAGAACCCAAGGGATGATTAGAAACTAAAAGAAAGAGTCCATTAAACTTCTATGCAAATGGACTAATCCAGAAAAAAGAAAACATACAGCACCCACACAGGATGGGAAAGGCAAGGTTGGGACTCAGTGGAGGCAGTCGCCTCGGGCACAAAATTAGTGGCACTGAGCTTTCCTCTTACCTCAGGCTCCAATATGCCTTGGTTAAACTCTGTTTACTTATTCTGTCCTTCAAAATTTGATATTTTGTTCATTGTGGATTTTTTACATTAATTTTGCTTTTTAGAAAGAATGTATAAAATCATCACGCCTCTGGATGACTGAATTTTTGACAGCCTCTTAAACTTTGCATTGAGCGCCTCACTTGCCTCTCCTTATTCCTGGCCCTGGGGAAAGAATCTACTAATACATCTAACCCCCTTCTGCAACCATCTTGAATATAGTCTCATTTTCCTCCAAATGAGAATGAGGCAAGTTCCTAAGAGGAGGTTGTATGAGGAAGGGATTATAGGAAGAAGATTTTATTGAAGGTGACAAGGGGGTGAAGTTTACTCCCAGAAGAGCGGGGTTGCATGATGCAGAGTAAAGGAGATAGGAAGGGCAGCTGGAGGGATGTTTACCCGGACCTTTGCAATGGTTAATAGGGGAAATGTAGGAGCAGAGAAAAAAGTATGAACTAAGTTGGCCAGATGGGGAGGGAAGGGAATGTATAGAAAAGTAAAGTCAGATTTGTGAGTGAGGGAATGAATCACCAAGCTAACCAATCCAAAATCGGCTAGTAATGGGAAGAAGGCCGTGGAATAAGCTGGGTGGTGTTTTATGCCAGGTAGTTGTATCTGTTAGCAGGACACACAACAGTTTTAGCTTATTGGTAGTCCTATCATACTCTTGGCTAATACTTAGTTTGTGGGCAGCTGAACCCTTTAGGGGAATTTATCTTATCATGTATACTGGTCTTATTTTGCACAATTTCCCATACTCAATTTATTTTCAACTGTGGTGAGGAGGAATGACAGTTGGCCCCAGAAATTTTAAGTTTCCATCACATAGCCTTAAAACTCAACCGAGGCTGGGGTGTTCATGATTCCTCTTGTGCATAGCATCCTATCATCCACCAGAGGGTCCCATAATACCAGCTGATGTCTTCTTGCTCCTCGACTAGGTCATTCATTCATTACCTGGAGATGAAGACACTTAATTGGAACTAGCATGAGTGATATACCCCAGTGCCTTTTCAAGTTTCACAGAGGGTGCTACACCCAAAATCCGTTAGACTTTTTGTTTTCTCTCTTTTCATAAAATCTTAAAATTAATTGTAATAAACCAAAGATAACCCAGTGAAACAGTTTGTTGCTTTGTTTTTTAACAAGGAATTGATAAAACTTTTCAAAGAGGGCATTTGACATAAGAAGATAAATGTTGGTGAACTCAGAAAATGATAGTCTCTCCTGTCTCTTGTGCTTTGTAGACTCAATACGAAGATGACCAGGATCTGCTTTTATTTCTGTTGAGTTTTTTTTTTTTTCCTCTTCCCACCAAATCAGGTCACATGAGAGGCTCCCTGATTACCCTACAGAAGTTAGTTCAGCTGTTTCCTGATGATATGTCTTTAAAGAACGACCTTGGAGTGGGGTATCTCTTGATAGGGGATAATCACAACGCTCAGAAGGTCTATGAAGAGGTAAGCAGAGAGCAGTCTGCTGTTCACCACATCCCGTTCTTTTGAGCATCAAGTTTTTGGTTTTTTTTCAAAGATTTTATTTATTCATTTGACAGAGATCGCAAGTAGGCAGAAAGGCTGGTAGAGAGAGAGGAAGGGAAGCAGGCTCCTTGCTGCGCAGAGAGCCCAATGCAGGACTCGATCCCAGGACCCTGGGATCATGACCTGAGCCGAAGGCAGAGGCTTTAACCCACTGAGCCATCCAGGTGCCCCTTGAGCATGAAGTTTTAATGTCACCAGTGAATTGCATTTATTTCACCCAACCTCTCGCTTTCTTCACTTTAAATTCAGTTAAAGAGAATATAAGTATTAGTCTAGTTGACATTCTAAATTTTGTCTCCATCTCTTAAATTTTGCCTTACTCGGAAAATTTTAAATTTTAGTTAATGCCTGGTACCTCAAAACCTTCAACTTATTATTGTGATAGTTTTTTTAAAAATAAATTTTAAAGATTTTATTTTTATTTATTTTAGAGAGAGAGAGAGAGAGCTGTGCGCATACATGCATGCACATGGAGGGGCAGAGAGGGAGGGGGAAGGACAAGCAGACTTGCTGCTGAGTGCAGAGCCCGATGTGGGGCTCAGTCTCAGGACCCCGAGATCATGACCTGAGCTGAAATCGAGAGTCCACGCTTAACTGACTGAGCCATCCCAACACCCCTATAATTGTGATGGTTATAAAACTTCATATTTATCAGTCCATAAACACCTTTTCTAAGAGTGTGCTTCATGATAGGAAATAGAACTCAGATTTTCCATAAATGGAAAAACACCCAACTTTTTCCTTTTTTTTAGTGAAAGTCCAGTCTAGAGAGAGACTACGGAGAAGGAGCCTTTCAAGCATGTGGAGTAAATTACTCATGTCTTGGAGGGCAGTAACTCTTTGATCCTCTAGCAGGGATATCTTTGAAAGGATTTCTACTTTAGAAAGGTTATTTTAATAGATAACCTCCAAGTTACAAATAACTATAAATCTAGAAAACTTGTGTTCCTTCCAGTAATGAGAAAATTCATTTGGCATAGAATAAACAGGATACCCAGTGAACTTCGAAGCTAGAGAAAGTTAATGCCTCCATAAAAGAAAGGGGAACACATTTACCTGTTACTCTTTAATTTAGATGTTTTGGTCAATGGTTTTCAGGCTGGTGTATTTTACATCAAAATGCTACTACTCAGTGATAGCCAGTGTGATTCCTTCTGGTTTAAAAATGCTGTCACTCACAGAGGGGTAAGGTTTTCTTTTTTTATTTTATTTTTATGGTTCTGGAGACTTAATTGAAAATCATCAAATTTCAGAATAATTTTCTCTTCATCCTTGTCATAATTTTCATATTTTCTCAGAGAATAGAAAGAAGACTTGTGTGTTTTATAGCATGCCCAATGTCTACATAAAGTAGATTGATCCTGCAGTGTTGAAAATGTGTACACTTCACTCGTTCCAGGTCATAAAAGAAGTCCAGGTGGGGTGACGTAGTTGCTAATGGCCAAAACCTAACACTTAGCGCCCTGTCTTGCAAAGGTGGTTTAAGGGAGATAATCATGTGTCTCACAATTCAGGATCATATGAATCTAAGAGTTGGCCAACTGTATCAGATACACCCATTATTCTGCCACTTTCTAAAGCCTCAGAGATGAAATTGTAGACTTCCCTCCCTCTCTCCTCCTTTCCTTCCTTCCTTCCCTCCCTCCCTCCCTCCAAAAAACATGATCAAGTGTTGACTGGATACCAAGCACATTTGAAGTTAGGGCAGGATCTGAAAGCATACTGGGTTCTCCCTCCCACTATGGATTTGTCCTTCCTCAACCTCTCAGAATGTTCCTTGAATATATTTACTATTTTTACCTGATAATAGATCTCGGATATGTGAAATATTTTAATTCATCTTGAAAAATAAAATTTATCTGTTGTCTTTTCTATGTTTGAAATCATAATCTCATCTGACTAAGCATAACAAGATGCAGAAAATCTAAAATAGGGCCCTATTATACATTCAAGTGGGTTTCTTTTTAAGGAGCATGAATTGAAAATATGTGTGGGATCTGCCTTTTATTCCTCCTCCCGCTTCTAATAAGCCATATTTAAGGCATTCTCTGTCCTTAACAAAAGTTTATCCTGATAGGTTTATGTCTCAAAGACCATTTTCAGAAAGCAATTGATACTATAATTTTCTACTTCCCTTCATTTTGATTTTTACCTTTAATAAATTATAAAAATCATTGGGAGCGCCTGGACGGCTCATTGGTTGAGCATCTGACTCTTGATTTCGGCTCAGATCATGAGCTCAGGTCCTGAGATTGAGCCCTGTGCGGGCTTCTTACTCAGTGGTGAGTCTGCTAGAGATTCTCTCTCTCCCTCTCTCTCTGCTCCTCCCAGGCTCGCTCGCTCTCTCTTTCTCTCTCTCTCTCTCTCTCTCTCAAATAAATAAATCTTCTTTCTAAATAAATAAATAAAAATCCTTATTGTTTCCCTTCCTGAGACTTTTGTCTGTTTCTTTTGCTGCTTTAAGTTTCAGCAAGACTGTTTTATAGTAATTTGATGCAGATCGCTGACAACTGTGGTTTGGGGGGTGCTCCGTGTCCCCCTTTCCATTTGCAGCAGGACGAGTGACCCAAGCCAACCATGGTCTAGAGTCAAACATATTTCTGATTTTTCCCTCCATTCACTACTCACCTGTATCCATTCACTTAGTCAACATGTGTTTTACTGAAACCCACACACACTAGTTGGGAAATGGTAATTAAGGAAGTAAACATTTGCTGAGCCCTCATGGAGTTTCAGCCTAATACCAACTCACAAATTTCTGTTAATTTTCCCTTCTGCGTATCTTTCAAATCCCCTTATTTTTTAACCCCAGTGCTCACATCTCTTGCCTAAACTAGGGTAGATTTATCCTGTGCAGGCTTACTGTGTGCTCCAGCCTTACCTCAACATAAAACACAAATCTGACCATCCCACACTGGGCTTCAACTCCAGTGGTCTTCAGACATGTTCGGCTGCATACCCTTCCAGTAAAACATGCTCCAGCAAATACCTGCGATATGTATGTTAAGTATGTATTGCGTTTCTTTTAAATAATTTTACATTTCATTTAATGGGGGAAAAAAAGAAAGAAAACCTAGTCGCTTAAAAATCCCTATTTTCTTTACTGATTTAAACTTTTTAAAATTATCTTTTCTGACTACAACATTTAAGAGAAGCTTAATACAGATAACAAGGAAAGCAGAAATTAGCACAATAGCCAGAAATCACTGGCAGCCTCATTCTCATATACAGACTACCATGATAAACATGCGGTATGTGTCCTTCTGGACTCTTCCATACACAGCACACTTTTCTTTTTCCATTAAATCGGTATGTATTAATCATATCATCACAAGACTTTTATAAATGAATTAAAATTCGTCTAGAACATAATTTTTAGCAACTGCCAAGCATTGTATCTTAGGGACGTATCATCACTAATAAACCACTATTATCGGATAGTTTATTTCTAATTACTTTGTTGTAATAAACAATGCCATGGTGAACATCCTTATTCATATATCTTTATACAATTTTTATTAAAATAGAGTCATCACACAATATTAGTTTCAGATGTACAACATAGTGATTCAACAACCTGATACTGTACTCTGTGCTTACCAAATGTAGCTGCCATCTGTCACTGTACAACACTATTACAGTACAATTGGCTATGTTCCCTATGCTGTCCCTTTCATCTAGTGACTTACTCATTCCAAAATGGGAACCTTACCTCCCCTCATCTTTGGCCATTTTGCCCATTCCCATAGCTCTGTCCCATGTGGCAACCACCAATCTATTCTGCATCTGTTTCTGCTTTTTTTTTGTTTGTTTTGCTTTTCAGATTCAACATAGAAGTGAAATCATATGGTATTTGTCTTTTTCTGTCTGACTAATATCACTTGACATCATACTGTCTAGGTCCAGCCGTGTCATTCTTTCTCATTCTTTTTTATGGCCGAGTAATGTTCCATTGTGTATGTATGCCATATCATCTGTATGCATTCCTCTATCAGTAGACGCTTAGACTGCTTCCATGGTTTGGCTACCATAAAAAGCCTGCAGTAAACATAAAGGGGCAAATATCTTTTTGGATCAGTGTTTTCATTTTCTTTGGCTTAAATACCCAGTAGTACCCAGCACTGAAACTACTGGATCATGTGGTTTAAAAAAAAAAAAAAAGGATATTTTGATAATATTTATGTGTAGTACATTTTGTGATTATATGATTTTTGGTTTTTTGCTGGCATTGTATCATGTAGAGAGTTTGTACTGGAAGCCGAATTGTCAACTATACCAGTTTTTTGTGGTGGTCTCTGCTGTGTGCTTATATAGAGACAGAATCCATATCATATTAATATTAATCTCAATTTGATCTTCTTAGAAATTTTATAAAGCCACTTGTCATATCGAGAGGCTCTGTTGATTACCACTAGGTAATAAAACCCACACATTCATGGTGCATCTACGTGTAAACTGTGAGAAGCACAGGACCTTTTGTGATTTGCCTCCTGCTCCCTTTTTCTGGTCTCATTCCCTTTTGATGCTCCTCGTCCATTATTTATTTATTTATTTTTAAGGATTTTATTTATTTATTTGACAGAGGAAGAGACAGCAAGAGAGGGAACACAAGCAGAGGGAGTGGAAGAGGGTGAAGCAGCCTTCCCACCAAGCAGGGAGCCCGACGTGGGGCTCGATCCCAGGATCCTGGGATCTGGACCTGAGACAAAGGCAGACGCTTAACAACTGAGCCGCCCAGGCACCCCTGGTCCATTATTTTTTTTTTTACTCACTTTATCCTGTGCCTTGAATACCTCCTCCCCCACAGTCCTCCATCTTCCCTTGGCCTGGTGAACTCCTATTTATCCCTAAACCCCTTTCAGACCTTGCGTTTGGCACACCAACCCTAGAGCAAGCCGGGTGCTCCTCCTCTTTACCCCCACTAGCCTTGTGCCCATCACCATGGCTGCACTCACCATGTTGTATGACCGCTGTCTGCTTGTGAATCTGCTTCCTCCCGTAGACTGAGACATCCCTTGAGAAAAGACAGTGTATCTCGCTTATATGTCCAGACCCTAGAAGAGCTCTGTGTATTCTAAAATATCTGGCAAAGGAATACATTTGTTAATTACTTGACAGGGTGATTGTTATCTGTGTAGCTGCAATCATTGCAGTTCAATTCCAGAAGTATTTATTGTGCTTTTGCTCAGCGTCAATCTCGGTAACGGGTGCTTGGAAGGTGAAGAAGAAGCAGGGTCTGTGCTTGCAGAAATCTGGTTAGGAGGAAAGCCCAACGTGCACTCATCCATTCAGTTACTATAGCTTTCTTGATGACGTGCCATTGCTGGGCACCGTTCTAAGCACTGGGAGATCAGCAGTGAGTGCAATAGACAAAATCCCCGCACAGCTTACATCTTAGTGGGAAAAAATAAAAGATTAATAAGTCAAATGGTGATGAGCACTATGAAGAAGAGGAATCAGGATAAAGAAGTCAAAAGAATGACTAATGCACAAGGGATTGGTTCTGTTCTTTAGGGAATGGTTGGGGGTTGGTTCACCAAGATGGTGACCTCTGAGCAAAGACTTCATGAAGGTGAGGGAGTGAGCCATTCTGATATCTGGGAGGAGTATTTGAGGCAAAGGAGTACTGCACATGCAAAGGTCCTGAGGCAGGGGTGCCTTTGACTTGCTGTGCAGCAGCAAGGAATCCAGGGCTCCTCAGGGTGGCTGGAAGTGGGGGGGGGCAGGGCCTTAGGAGCGGAACCCAAAGAGGTAGAGAGGCCCAGCTCAAAGGAGGCCCAGAAGACTGTCCCTAGAACTTGGTCTTTTACTCTGATTGAAATGGAACCCATCTGGGTTCTGAACAGAGGAGGGGTGGGGTCTGACAGAGGACTTAGTGCGCTCATTCAGGGTCCCCTCTGAAGAAAGGGCTATAGGAGAGCCACTCTGGGGCTGGAGAAGGTCTGCGGTTAGGAAGCTTGTGTGAGAACACAGGGGAGAGGGAACCAGATGGGAACCAGGGGGCAGTGGTGAATATGGTGGCAGGGGCATGACTCTGAATATTTCTGGAAGGGAATGTTGACTGGACTTGTGAATGGATGAGGTGCAGGACCACATACAAACTGAAAAATTCTGAAGTATCAGTCGTGTGCACTGTGGACTCTTGGAGGGGAGGGGGTCCGCTCTCCCGAACACTTGGTCGTGTATAAGGAGCCCATGGTGGCTGCCGCTGTCTTGTCCCACTCAGGCTGATGGATGACGAGAAGCTCCAGGATATTCAGGATATCCATCTTTACATTCACTCAGCTCGAATCTTCATCTTTCACTTTTGTTCCATGCATGAGTTTGTCTTTGAATGTTTTGATTTCTCACTGCTAATATTTAATTTAAAGGCATTCTGCATAATTTATCTTTAATTATAATAAATGGATATGTTAATAAACAGTGATTTGACTTATATTAAATATTTACTTGGGTTTTATCACGGAATATTGGATTTGCTCATCACTTTATCTTCGGTCCTTAAAATGATCTGGGCCTTCAAGAAATTATTGTTAAATGAACAGATCATTATAGATGACAAATGCAAATCTAAATTTGCTCTTATTTAAGGCAATGTATAAAGTATACATACAAACAAATATATGATAACCATTCAGAGTTGACTTTATTTTTTTTAAGATTTTATTTATTTATTTAACAAAGAGATCACGAGTAGGCAGAGGTGGGGGAAACAGCCTCCCTGCTGAGCAGAGAGCCCGATGCAGGGCTCAATCCCAGGACCCTGAGATCAGGACCTGAGCCAAAGGCAGAGGCTTAACCCACTGAGCCACCCAGGTGCCCCCAGAATTGACTTTAAATAGAGCAATTTTAAAGCAGCTTTTTTCCCTGATCACTAACAAAAGGCTGAGGTCATATCAGTTCACAGATAACTTTGCTGATTTGCATTGTTCGATCTGTGCTTTCAATACAAATTTTTTTTTAAGATTTTATTTATTTATTTGACAGAGAGAGATCACAAGTAGACGGAGAGGCAGGCAAAGAGAGAGAGGGAAGCAGGCTCCCTGCTGAGCAGAGAGCCCGATGCAGGACTCGATCCCAGGACCCTGAGATCATGACCCGAGCCGAAGGCAGCAGCCCAACCCACTGAGCCACCCAGGCGCCCCAATCAGTGCTTTCATAGTCACTGCCTTTTCATTCATTTTTTTCATTCTCGAAAAACTGATGTGTAGATGTGCAAGCATTCTGAGTTGACGAGAAATTTGGGGGCATTTAAACTTAATATGGCAATGAGACAAAACACTGGTGGGGTTTTTTTGGTTTTTTTTTTTTTTTTAAGATTTTATTTATTTATTTATTTGACACACAGAGAGAGAAATCACAAGCAGGCAGAGAGGCAGGCAGAGAGAGAGAGAGGAGGAAACAGGCTCCCCGCTCAGCAGAGAGCCCGATGTGGGGGTCGATCCCAGGACCCTGAGATCATGACCTGAGCCGAAGGCAGAGGCTTTAACCCACTGAGCCACCCAGGCGCCCCTGGGTGTTTTAAGCCGTGACATCATAATCCACTCCAAGCACAGCAAAGCTAATTAAAATTTGTTTTGACAGCCATTTGTAGAATTTGTAGTCAGTTACAATAGTCTTCTGTTTCCTTTGAGTTTAGGTTCTGAATGTGACACCGAACGACGGCTTTGCTAAAGTACATTATGGCTTTATCCTGAAGGCGCAGAACAAAATTGCTGAGAGCATTCCCTATTTAAAGGTAACTGTCCCTGCCCTTCCTCCTTTTTTCATCTTCTGATTCCTTCGACTCATCTGGACTCCCTTGATTATGCATTGTTGATTGATCAGCGTGTGCTGCTGAGTCTTCATCTTCAGAATGTGCCGCTCTGACCGTGACATTCATAGGCAATGATTGAGGCTGTTGGATATAGAAATGCCAACCATATCCGCAGAGATTATGTGGAGAAGACGTTCTGAAGAAATTCCTAAAACTGTATTAGTTTGTATTTAAATGGGAAAGGTAGACCAAAATTACCAATATGATAGTTTAAAATATAGGCAACATATTAAATGTTCCTTTTAGTGTTTAATTATACATTCGGTCTAGCTTGAACAGAACTCATGATAACCTATATGAAGTATGATAACCAATGTTGCCTGAATAGGTCAAACCCTAAAAAACGTGGTAGCTCAAAATATTCTGATTAAAATATGCTGTCTTGTTTTATCTTCTGTATCTAGTTGTAAATCCTTGAAGATGCACCAGAATCACACGCCTGGTCTAGCTAAGGGCTGTTCAGCAGAACTTTCTGTCACAGTAGGAAGGTCCTTTATTTCTATGCTCCAATATGGTAGCCACTGGCCACGTGTGCCTTTTGGCACCTGAAATGTGGCTAATATGACTGAGGAACTGGATTTCTAGCTTTCATTTTATTTCATTTTAATCAAAATAGTGATGTATACCTAGCATCTACCATATTAGATGTTGGACTACTTGCGAACTTTTTTTTTTTTAAGTAGCGGTATACATCACACTTCCATGATCTCTTTCTTTCACATGACTTAAATCAGAGATCTCAAATAGCAGCCCACTGATTGCAAATAGCTTGCATATTTTATTTGGCCAGCAAAGTTCTATTAAAAACAATTTTCATTGCTTGTTTTAGTTAAGAATCTGAGCGTTTTATTTAATCATGGCAATTTCTGATTTCTCTTGAAAGATCACATCTGGCCCATATCCCAGCACAGGAGCAGAGCGATGCTGTCCCCTTGAGGTGGCCTGCATGTCACTGGCATCTCTAAACCTTTACATTCCCTGCCAGGACCTGCTGGACGTGTGGGTTCCTCTGACTGAAAGTGTTCCCCTCATTTCCTCTGACATAATAAGGAACTAATAGTGCTCTCCCTGCTTCAGAGTAGGGGAAACAGAGAGCTGGGTCTATTAGTTAACTTGTCAGTGAAGAGCCCTGATCACAGCTCTCCTCTCCTAAGTGATGCTACTCCTGTTCCTTGCTGCTACTTTCCAACATTATGCAAGTAGAATTTCTCCCCAGTGAAAATATTGGGTTTCTGATGAAGAGACCTGAAAATGCAGATTTTTAGAAAAATGAAGATTTCTTGACATTTAGATTTTTTTTTATCTTTGTCCTTCTTTTACTTCTCTGAATTCATTCTCTTGCTTTAGTAGTTTTTCTCACGCTCTATTTTTATTGTTGTTTTGTTGTTTATATACATCTCAGTTCAGTCCGTATGTGGGAGATGGGGTAGAAATCAGCTAAACGTTTTAGCATTGGATTTGTTTAATAACAACTACATTTGCAAAGAGTCCAGCTGGCTTTAATCCTATTGTAAGTTTTGTAAAAGATTTCATTAAAAGGTTGAAGATGCATTTTTTTCTAGTAGAAAGAAATATTATTTTCAGTTGGGTCTCTGTCACTTCAATCACCTTATGAACAACTAAATATTTTACTTCAAGAATAAAAAGCCTCCAGATGACATAATGGTTGGATTTGGAGAGCAAACTAAATGGGATAGCTAGCCAGTCACGAAATTCTTTGGGGTTGTGAAATAAGATTGGTTCCACAGAGATGATTCACATACTAATTTTCTGGGGTATTACATTGTTAATTAGTGATAAACGTATTACTGAATTTAACTTTATCACCTCTTTTTGCATTTGTGTTTTGAAGATTTACCAGTAACCTAATTGCCAAACTTTAATATTGAGGTGAATTTTTCTGGTCCTTAGATTTTGTATGGTATATAAAGATGAAGTAAATCAATGAATTAAAGCTAGTATTTAATTTTTTTCATTAAATACAAATACTGTCCTTTTTACAGGAGGGAATAGAATCTGGAGATCCCGGCACTGATGATGGAAGGTTTTACTTCCACCTGGGGGATGCCATGCAGCGGGTTGGGAACAAAGAGGTAATGAACTTGTGAATTTTTTGTTCTCTTAATGGACACGGTAGAGTTGGGGATGGTGGGTGGTGGGGGGAGGTAACTCTGGGAGAAATTTATACTTGAAAAAATATTTTGAGCATATACTTCAAAGGTGGTGATTGAAACTATTTAGCTATTTAAAATTTGTTTCAAACAGCCCAACAACTCTTGCAGGCCTGGAAAGAATTTTGGGGATTTTTGAACTTTATAGTTTCTTTAAAGAAACTGGTTGAGTAATAGTAAGAGCAGCCTCTCAATGAGTACATGTGTACATGTGTGTGTGAGTGTGTGCATGCACACGTGTGGGTATGGGCACAAAAAGAGATAAGCATTGCCCTGAAAAAAATATTTTTAAAATAATGAAATGAAAAAATGTCTCTGAAGTTGCTTAAATATTTTAACAATATTTTAACAGTATGCCTAGACTTGTTTTTATTTTATTTTTGGAATTTAAAAAGTAGTTATTTTTAGAATGAAGCCTTTATTCATCTGAGTCCTAAGCACACACTGAACCCGGTGATTAATTATGTAAATTACCTTCTGGTATTTAATACCAAGTTTCGAATGAATACATGTAGCTCTAGTAATAACAGGTACTGACACGAAAAATGTAGAAGCTAAAACAAGTTACATGTTTTCTTTGTAGGTATTGCTGTTTTTTCCCGAGCCCCATGTCAGCTTCTTTAAACATAGCATTAGATTATAATGAATCATGACATAATGTACTGAAGTTCCCAAACTGTCAGGATCATCATGTTTGTTGGTGGAGAGTGAAGCCCACCTTTTCTTTTACATCATCCGGGGTCTAGCCTGGGCTGTCCTTACAGTCCTGGATAAAGGGATGAAGTGAGCCACTGAATCTTGGTAACCATGGCATTCCATATATGTTGTAAAGTGCAATCAGCTTACAGGATAAAAATAAAAGATAACACAGCTTTAGGTTTCTAAAATTAATAAGAACATGGAACCATCTGGAAAAGTGAAGGTTCATAAGAGTGGGGGTGGGGGGGAGGTTGTGATGGGGTCATTGCCAGCTAGACACACGAACCAGTTTGGGGTAAGAGAGATTTGGATGATTGACACTGTTTTCTTTATACATTACTGTGTATCTGTGCCTTTCCCCTCTAACCTTTCAGTCAGTCAGCTGGAGTAAAATGAGGCATTAGAAGTAACGAAGGGAAGATAACTCGCTTATTAGCTCTCATTCTTGTGTTCCTTCATTGTTTTAGATACAGATGCCTGGTACAAATGATACAAATGCCTCCTTTGAGTGAGAAGGATAAGAAAGATTTTGCTGTGGTTTCAAACACTGCATAAATGTTCATGTCTGATTGCTAGAAATGTAATTGTCACTAATTAATGTATCTTTGAACATCTTAGGGTCCAGGGCAGAGACAGATAAAAGAAGTCTGCGATTTATTCTCACATCATAGATGAAAACAGCCCTTACTTCAAGGGCAAGAATCCACTACTAAACATTTGTCAGGGGCTGGGGATTTGAACCTAGGGGACTGTTCTATCAGCTTAATTACCATTTGTGTGCAAAGGACTCACAGTTCTTGAATTTAAAAAACTCACAAGGATTTGTCCTTACAGCAGAACAAAATTAAGCTTTATAGGAGCCCCGTGTCCGGATATTCTCGATCTCGGGTATCAAATCTGTGAATTGACTATTGTGCTCTGAAGTTTGCAAACCGGGAACCAACCGTCCTTCCCATGTTCCAATGCATGCAGCTCTGCTTAGACACCAAAAGAGGAGCAAAGCCCCAGCCTCTGTGCTGCAGAGGCTGACAATGAATTGTTTTTGCAGAAGGTTTTCCTAACAGGTTGTTTCAAATGGACAGCAAGAGGGAGGGAGACCCACCATGATGATCTTACAGCCTTTCAGCTGCAGCTGTGCTTAGGATTTCTAGAACTTGCAAACCCACAGCCCGTCCCCTACTCCAAGTCCAGATTCCCGTGTCTTCTGCCTGCTTAGTGTCCCCATGCGAGAGGACAGCTCACTTGTCTTCCCCTAAACCGTGGTTCTTCCTGGGTTCCATCTCCCCTTCGATGATACTGCCACCTTCTCTCCAGTGAGGTCAGGGCCAGGTTCAGGGAAGTCGGTTTCTTCAGCCTCTGGCTCCCAGCCCACCTGCCTGCCTGCTCACACAGTGTTGCACTTTGTCACCGTCCACCCTCAGGCATGGCTGGATGAGCCTGGCTGTTGTTTCTTGCTTTAGCCTTCTTCCAGAGTACTGTGTGTTCAGAATCCCTGCACTGCCAAACACATGTTATTTGTACACAAATACACATAAGGTCGTATTCCAGGGGAAGGCATTCGCAGTCCTCCACGGTCTGGCGGCAGCCGTTGTCACCACAAGTGTGTCTCATGTGCCCCACCATGCATTGCACTCCAGGCAGGACAGGGTCCAGCTGGGGCCACACCTGACACATGGGTTTTTCTGAGTGGGGATCGTTCTTTGGACATATTTCTGTGTAGTGAGTGTGTGAGTGTGTGTGTGTGTGTGTGTGTGTGTGTGTGTGTGTGTGTGTATAAACCATACCTAGCAGTAATTTGAAGCATAGAAGACAGTAATATTAAACACGTGTAAGAAGAGATCCCCAGGTGATCTTTCTGTTTAGTTCATATCCTTGATTAGAGGTCTAAAGGGGAAATAGTAAACAAAGAATTTTTAGAGGATTCTAACTTGATCATTGATGTTGTAGCAATTTGTATTGTAAGAAAGCAATCTGACTGAATTTATTGGGTCCTCTATATGATTGAAGATAATTTCTTAGAATTCCTGATGTATCATTGTCATGGTTTTGTTTCTTTAAAAGTTACATAGCAGGGGCACCTGGGTGGCTCAGTGGGTTAAAGCCTCTGCCTTCGGCTCAGGTCGTGGTCCCAGGGTCCTGGGATCGAGCCCCACATCAGGCTCTCTGCTCAGCAGGGAGCTTGCTTCCTCCTCTCTCTCTGCCTCTCTGCCTACTTGTGACCTCACTCTCTGTCAAATAAATAAATAAAATCTTTAAAAAAAAAAAAAGTTACATAGCAGAGGGCTACAAAATGAAGGGTCCAGGAGGACTGACTTTGAGTGTGAGGAAAGACCTTGTAGATCATTTAAACACGCCGCCGTAGGCTAAGTCACTTGCCCAGGCATCAAGCATGGTGAATATCAGGTCCAGGTCTACATTCTGACTTCTAACTCCTGAACTAGAGCTAGGAAACTTGCACTTAGGTTTCTGGTTTGGTTTCCTATAATATCTTTTTTTTGTTTGGTTTCCTATAATATTTTTTTTTGCTGGTTTGGTTTCCTATAATATTTTTTCCCCCTCATTTCTGACAATGTGCCTGGTCCATGAAGTGAATTGCTGCTGACTCAAAAATAAGCATTTCAAAAAGTCACCTGTGGGAATTATTATTGTTGTTCACTTTAACCCGGAAAGGTATAGGAAATACAATCCTAAATTTGAATTGGATAGAAATAACTTAAAAAGTCAAATAAATTTCAAAAGTGAAATGTATTTTTTTTTTTTAAATTCAGACAGTGATTAGCCATGTTAAGTTTCTGGCTTGTAAAGATACAACTTTATGGCTACAACTAACATGTATTTCAAGCAAAACATATAAGAATGATTAGTAGATATGATCTTGATTTGAGATACTATTGAGAAAGATAAGTAAGAATATCACTTTTGATAGTTTTTTTCTTTTTTAATGATACAAAGATAGGAGGAGAGTGGAGTAAGTAGCCAGAGCCCTGTGTTGTAGTTCAAGATATTTAGCCTTTTTAAGCCTCGGTTTCAACATTTGTAAAAATGGACATATTTGAGGTTATTAGAGAGAGCAAATGTGATTGCACATGGAAAAGTGAGTAATAAACTAAAAAGTGTTCCTGGAAATAAGAAGTGGTATTGTTTTTTTTTTTTAATATTTTATTTATTTATTTGACATAGAGAAGCAAGAGAAGAAGTGGTATTGTTATCACACTTGACTTTCTAGTGAAGGAAATACTGACCTAAGAATTTTAAGACTTTTAAAAGGTAATATTTTTTATATTTATTTATTTTGTTTAAAGACAGTATTTATTTATTTGAGGGACAGAGATCACAAATAGGCAGAGAGGCAGGCAGAGAGAGAGGGGGAAGCAGGCTCCCTGCCAAGCAGAGCGCCCAATGCGGGGCTTGATCCCAGGATGCTGGGATCATGACCCGTGCCAAAGGCAGAGGCTTTAACCCACTGAGCCCCCTGGGCGCCCTTATTTTTTATATTTAAAGTACATATGGGAGTGCCTGAATGGCTGGGTCATTTGGATGTCCAACTCTTCATTTTAGCTCAGGTCATGATCTTGGGGTTGTGAGATACAGTCCTATGTCAGGCTCCATGCTCAGTGGGGAGACTGCTTTGAGACAGTCTCCCTCTCCCTCTGCTCCTCCCCTCATTGTGCGCACACACACGCTCGCGCGTTCTCGCTCTCTTTCTCTCTCTCTCTCTCTGGAATAAATGGATCTTTAACAAAAACAGTGAAAATAAAATATATCCAGAGTTTTATGAAGATAATCTTTTGAATATCTTCTTGATCCACCTGGTATTAAATGCCTGTGTTTAATTGATCCAAGTGTGTATTTGTAATCACGCTTCAGAAAGCCCTCATTAGCTCAGACTTAGAGTCACGAAGGGATACAGTTAAGCATAGCCCTGGAGCGTCTTCCAACCCGAAAACAACGGAGTGAGCCTGCGCGGTGCAGGAACCTTGCGGGAGAGCCCCTGGGGAGCATATGGTGAGGGTGTCACTGGAAGGAGACATATGGAGCGGCATACTCTCCAGCCAGCTGTCCCTGAAAAGGCTAGTCTTCTTGGAGGCAAGTTGTATCGTGTTCCAATTAGCCTAAAGCCACAAATGTTATCCCTCATGGCAGGAAAAAAACCTGAAAAGGAACAAAAATTCCCCCTTTAAAAAGCCTAGTATGGGCTATTGCTATATTTATTGCCAGCTCAGAATGAGATTTCCTTTCTGTCTATTTAATTTAACGGAGGATTCATACTCTCTTACCTTGGGGCCGGCTTCTGAAATGCAGATGTGGGAAGAAGGTACATGTGAAAAGAAGTCACTTTTCCTTTTCACAATCTGATTCAGTAATCACAAATATTTTGGAAGAAATTATTAAAATCATAATCCTTTCCTTTTACAGGAAATACAAAAGTAGAACTGGAGAAATGAAAGTGAAAAGATAAAACCATTTTGGTTTCTTAGATTATTTATTCACTTAACAAATGAGTCCTAGACTCTGTGCTGGACACTTGGAGGAAGACCGAAATGAGTGCAGCCTGAGGCCGTGTCACAGGAGCATAAACCCTCAGAGGGAAAAATAAAAGGCAGACGTGCATTTATAAGGAAACTACGTCATGATCAGAAATCTAATCGAGGGGCGCCTGGGTGGCTCAGTGGGTTGAGCCTCTGCCTTCAGCTCAGGTCATGATCTCAGGGTCCTGGGATCGAGTCCCGCATCGGGCTCTCTGCTCAGCGGGGAGCCTGCTTCCCCCCTCTCTCTGGCTGCCTCTCTGCCTCCTTGTGATCTCTCTCTCTCTCTCTCTCTCTGTGTGTCAAATAAATAAATAAAATCTTTAAAAAAAAAAAAAAAAAGAAAGAAACCTAATCGAGTAATGGTATTTTCACCAGTATAACCAATTTGGGTATCTGACTAGCAAACTCTTTATTTAAATGTTACCAAAGTGATTCTCAATTTTTTTAATTAATAGAACTGCTTCCTGTGTCCATGGTTCAATCCTTCTGTTCTTTCAGGCATATAAGTGGTATGAGCTTGGGCACAAGAGGGGCCATTTTGCATCTGTATGGCAGCGCTCTCTCTACAATGTGCATGGACTGAAAGCCCAGCCCTGGTGGACCCCGAAAGAAACAGGCTACACAGAATTAGTGAAGGTGAGTGCTGACTTAGACTTGATTCTCACGAATCGTGTGTTTCCTACTCAAAGTCAGAGAATGCTTACCACAAAGAGGAATGTCAGGGAGGAGATAGATTTTACATCCAGTGACATTTGCAAAAAGATTGCAGAAAGAATCTTTTCATCCCATTAGCCAAAAGCTCAGTTTAGATGGTGAAGAAAGGAATTTTTCTTGAAGAGCTGTTCTCAAACATTTTGACTTTAGGACCCCTTTACACTTTAAAAATTATTATAGAGTGCCCCAAGGAGTCTATGTGTTGGGGAGGGGGCTACATCTATCAATATAATTATCAGAAATTGAAACTAAAAGTAATATTTATGAATTCTTTAAAAATAACAAAAACATCATTGCATATTAATATAAATAACTTAAACAATAACTTTAAAGGTGCCTGGGTGGCTCAGTCTGTTAGGCATCCGGCTCTTGGTTTCACCTTGGGCCGTAATCTTGGGGGTCGTGAGATTGAGCCCCATGTTGGTTTTGGTGCTCAGCAGGGAGTCTGCTGGAGATTCTCTCTCTCCCTCTGCCCCTCTCCCTGCTTGTTCTCTCTCTGAAATAAATAAATAAATCTTACAAGTTAAAAAATTAACTTGATTTTCAAAACAAAAAAATGTATTAAGAAGAGTAGAATCGTTTTATATTTTTACAAATCTCTTTGATGCCTGGCTTAAAACAGGATAAGAGGATTCTTCTATCTACTTTCCGTATACATCCATTAACGTGGTGGTTGTGTCATATGTCAGGTAGCATCTGGAAAATTCCATTGTACACCATGAAATATTGAGTATGAAAAGGGCAAATAACATCTTTATATTATTGAGGAAATAGTTTTGATCTTGCAGAACCCCTAAAAGGGTCTAGGAATCCACTAGGTATCCTTGGACCACATTTTGAGAACGACTACTTCTGACTGAATAGGGGAAAAAAACAAAAAAACAAAACCGGCAAATACTTTTAGAACATGTTGTAGCAGATTTATAGGATAGAGAAACTGAGTGATTCTGACAACTTAATGGAAAAACAAACAAACAAAAATGCAAGAGAAAAATTGGAAGCTTTTATTTTGGTAAATTAAATCCAAATGGTAAGAACATCTGCTTGGTAATTTTGGTAGTAGCTGGTCAGAAGTTTATGATTGCTTTGGTAAGCTCTTTCTTCTTGTTAGTTGTATTAATAAAATGGGAGGTAAATTAACTCATAGGGGGGGTTTTGTGTGTTTTTTAAAATTATTTTTATTAACATATAATATATTATTTGCCCCGGGGTACAGGTCTGTGAGTCGTCAGGCTTACACACTTCATTGCACTCACCATAGCACATACCCTCCCCAATGTCCATAACCCCAGCCACTCTATCCCTCCCACCCCCACCTCTCCAGCAACCCTCAGTTTGTTTTGTGAGATTAAGAGTTTCATGGGATGCCTGGGTGGCTCAGTCGGTTAAGCCACTGCTTTTGGCTCAGGTCATGATCTCAGGGTCCTGGGATCCTGGGATCCCTCCTTGCTAGGCAGGGAGCCTGCTTCTCTCTCTTCCTCTGCCTGCCACTCTACCTGCTTGTGCCCGTGCTCGCTCTCTCTCTCTATCTGACAAATAAATAAATAAATAAAATCTTAAAAAAAAAAAAAAAGAGTCTCTTACGGTTTGACTCCCTCACAATCCCATCTTGTTTCATTTTTTCCTTCCCAACCCCCCACAACCCCCCACCCTGCCTCTCAAATTCCTCATATCAGAGAGATCATAGGATAATTGTCTTTCTCTGATTGACTTATTTCACTAAGCATGATGCCCTCTAGTTCCATCTACGTCATTGAAAATGGCAAGATTTCATTTCTTTTGATGGCTGCATAGTATTCCATTGTGTATATCTACCACATCTTCTTTATCCATTTGTCTATTGATGGACATCTAGGTTCTTTCCATAGTTTGGCTATTGTGGACATTGCTGCTATAAACATCCAAGTGCATGTCCTCCTTCGGATCACTACATTTGTATCTGTAGGGTAAACACCAAGTTTAACTCATAGTTTTAATAAAAATGTCGAAGATGTCATCCGCCTTATAGGTTAGATGGGCCTCAGTGATCCAGCTTGAGGTTCTAACTGCCGTATAGACATTGTTCGTATATAAGAAAACACATTCTCATGTTCAGACTGCTGGTTTTACATCTCCAGGATGTGTTTTCCAACACCACCAAGTGGTTCTCCAATTCTCAGGGGACACTGGCTGAGTGCCCTACAAATTTAACTCAATTCTGAACACTGTCTGAAGGTGGCATTAGGTTGCACAGGTTAAGGGCTCAGTCTCACAAGACTGCCCCCATTTCAGACATCCATTGCAGGTTCAGGTTGTACCCTGTGCTTCTGATGGGCTGTGCATTGGGAGGTTCCCACAACCCCCTCCTTGGGTTTGATTACTTTGCCAGAGTGGCTCACAGAACTCAGAAACGTTTACTTTCTGAGTTTTTGTGTTTCTGAGTTATTGTGATGGATGCTATAAAGGGTACAGATGAACAGCCAGATAAAGAGGTACACAGGAGGGGCGCCCGGGTGGCTCAGTGGGTTGGGCCTCTGCCTTCGGCTCAGGTCATGATCTCAAGGTCCTGGGATTGAGCCCTGCATCAGGCTCTCTGCTCAGCAGGGAGCCTGCTTCCCCCTCTCTCTCTGCCTGCCTCTCTGCCTACTTGTGATCTCTGTCTGTCAAATAAATAAATAAAATATTAAAAAAAAAAAAAAAAAGAGGTACACAGGATAAGACCCAGAAGGATCTGAGTGCAGGAACTTCTGTCCCTATGGAACGGAATATTACCTTCTCTTGGTGTGTGTATACTTTTATCAACACAGAAGCTCATCAGATCTTGTTCAAGTTTTTGGAGAGTTTAATAAGCGGTACCTGTTTCCCCTTCCCAGTGGCTGGTGGGTGGAGCTGAAAGGTCTAACCTTCCAATCATTTGGTCTTTCTGGTGACCAGCCCCATCCTGAGGCTATCTAGGGGCCCCTGTTCTAAGTCATCTCATTAACACAAACTCAGTTGAGCTCAAAAAGGGTGCCTTTAAATGACAAAGACACTCCTGTTATTCAGGAAATTCCAAGATTTTTAGGAGCTCTGTGCCAGGAATCTGGGACAAAGATCAAATACATGTCCTGTTATACCACAGGTCACTCCCTAGTTTTTGTTTTCATTTTTGTTTTTGTCATGCATGCCTTATAATAAGATCATAACAGTTAATAGATATTGGCATGTTACTAGCCTTCCATTCAGTTACTAATAATTAGTCCAGTCTATCATCTTACCATTTGAAAGTAGCTCCCAGGGCAAGGCTACTCAAGCTGGCATACCTCTGTTAGATCTCCTCCAGTTCCAAAACTACAAGTGGACCTAGAAATATATGGCTTCACCTTTTCATGCATCTGGTATAATCAAGCTAAGGGACAGTATCATCTCTTGCCCTGAGCCTCTTTTGAGGTGTTGAGATAATATTGGATTTCCTACTATTACAAAATCCATTCATTCCCTTACTCCCAGCTACTATTCCTCCTTCTCTCCATTTAAATGCTCAATATGTTTCCACTTTCGGAAAGGACATGACGTTTGACCACTGTGCTGTCTAGTCTGTGGGCAGCAGTCCTAGTATAGCCAACACCTACCCTGCCCATGCAAGTAGGGTAAAGTACAGTACCTAGGGTCAGAGCTAAGAGGCCTATTCTTACCACTGTCAGTGTAGCTACTACATTCACTTATCCCAGAGAGATGAGAAAGGAAGAACAAGAGTAACAAAATATTGACAATTTTGGAATCTGGGGGATAGATACATGGAAGTTAATACTGTTCCCTCTACTTTTAAGTGTTTTACATTTTTCGATTATTTTATTTATTTATTTATTTATTTATTTTGCTGAAGAACATCTTGAATAAAGTATATCTATAAGAAGACTTCACCGAAGAATTTTTTTCTACTTGAGGAAAGAAAGTTTCAAAGTACTGTCAATTTACCTACTTTAAATAGGTCTTACTTGACCATACTTATTCTATTTCATTGTAAAAGCACACTATAATCATCATAATCCAATTGTAAAGTAGGCTGCTGTCAGTTAGACTTTATTTTATAAGTCAGAAAACCATCGTGTGGTGACCATGAATGCAGATCGATTTAAAGAGGTTCTATGTCCAAAGCAGAATTAGTACAGGAAAAACGTTTTCCTGGATAAATGTCCTATAGTTAGCACTGTCAGAAGTTCTTTCCATTGTAAAATTTCACCCCTTCTCAGATTGTATCACACTGAGCTCTTCTGATTCTCTTTCTAACATCTAATCTTCTCCTGGTCTTTCTGTGAGTTTATTTTCCTACTGTGTCTTTTCGGATGCTTTCAATTTCAAGTAACAGAAATGCAACTGGAATGTGGCTTAAGCAACAAGGAATTTGGTTGACGTTTGTGAAGGAAGCCTAGCCTAGCAGTAGGGCAGATTTCAGGGGTTGTGCACCCAGGTGGAAGGTTTTCTTGCCTCTGTACTTCCTCCCTGGTCAGCTCTGTCCTTGCACTTACTTAAGTCAAGATGGCTGCCAGCAGCCCCTGGAATGGAGGGTTAGAAAGTGTTTGAGAGCTTCATAACATTGTTGAGCCACCACACTAGGCCTGAATGGTCTCCTCGAAACCTCTTAGGAGACCTTGTCCTGGTGATCAAACCATGTCACATGGGTACTAACAATTACAAAAGAGTTGTAATACTGTAATACTGAGAAATTAAGTAGCTAGCCACAGGCTGGGGCAGCAGGCTTCCAGCAGGAGAGTGTTACCTCTCCATCAACCAGGGAATAAAAATCTTTTTTCCTTCAGTCTGATTGAGCCAATTAAGTTACATTCCCATTCTGGGTGGGCTGTGAGATTATCTTTAAGCCAATAGATCAACTCCTGGAGCCAGGGAAAGGTCAGATTTCTCCAAGTCCAATGGATAACCTGAGAGGAAGTAAACACCTGAAC